CAGTGACAAGGGGAAGAACCTGCTTGTCTTCTGACCTCAGCAGGCTTCAGCCTAAACCAGGCAGAGGTTGGGCTGGGGCAGGGCAATAGTGAGGACTAAGGGTGGGAGCCCTGAGGAGCCCTATCGATAATCACTTCATTTTACCTCCTGTTGGCAGATTTAGTTTGGAGTTTGGACAGGCAAACTCTCTTCATTTAACATTTATAAAGAGGAATTCCTGCAGCTTCTCTTTTAAATAAAAGTCCTTTGTTCTGGTACCAGAGGGAAAAAGATCTTTTCCAAAGTCTAGGCCTCAGACATTTTAAATTTTAAACCTGCTCAGGTGTCTCTTTTCTTACCAGTTCTCCCTTCACCCCTTTCCCATTCTCTTTTCTCTGCTCCCTGCCTTTTCTCTGCTCACATCTCCCTTAACTTGTGAAAACAAGAATAGGAAAAGGACATCTGAAGCCAACACGTTAGTAGGTGTTTGATTGGTATAGATACTGGGGCTGAGACTCTGAATAAGGAGCTCGAGATTTTGGACTTGACTTCTAGTCCTCAGAATAAGAGTTGCTGGGCAGGTTTTCTTTTTTCCTTTAGTTACTCACATGTCAGATAATTAGGCTGACGGAGATCCTGGCAGGTAGTTCATAAGACCCTAATCCTACATAACCCAAGGACCCATATGACAGTCCATAAGACTCTCATCCTGTTATAAGTTCACAATCTTATGGAGAAGACATAGTAGCAGTGAGCACACAACTCCTACTCCTCCCATAACCCCCATTCAAATCATTGTATTTTGAGGATAGAAAGAACTTTAGTTTATCTGGTCTTCTTTCATGTCGCTATGTAATAAAGTAAGGCAGATCATGATAGGCTCCGGAAGTAAAGCAGACCTGCATTCAGATTCTAGCTCTGTTGCTTACTAGCTGTTTGACCCTGAATGGCACACTTAGCCTCACCTATCTTTAGTTACCTTGGTTATAAAATGGGCCATCATCACCTACTTCACAATGTATCATAAAGATTAATAGTTTTAACAGCCAGCCTCATGCCTGAGGCACAGTAGTAGCAGCCCATGTCTTTCTGTTACCCTGCATCAAGGCCTGGCTTAAATCTTTGCTGCTTCTGTGAAGCTTCTGAGACAACCCTAGGTCAGACTGATTTGTTTATCCACTTTCACAATACATAACATTCTTTGAACTGTTGGATCCTGCCGAATAGTCTTAGCATTTTTTTGTGGGACATCATAGTTCTACCCTGAATGCTACGTGCCTAGGGATAAGGAGTGTTCTCAATCATCTGTGCATCCTCCATAACCTCTCACTCAGAACTGTGTACACAGCAAAGCCAACCAGTACAGCTGATAACAGGAAATATTTTTTGACTAATTGGATAGAAGATTCATGTATGTACTCTGTTTTTCAGCTTGCAAGAACTATAAAAGACCTGGCTGGAACTCTTCTATCCTAACTCTGCCCTTTTCCTCACCTGTTATCACATTGATAAAAACGTGATCATAAAATCTCTTTGTTGGCAGTATAGGAATTCCGTTTTTGCAGATGAGAAATCTGAGATGCAGATTAGAACTCAGGTCTCTTTTGGGAGATAGATCTAGACTCAGTAGGAGAATGGAAACAGAAATCTTATAGCTGGCCAGGTGCGGTGGCTCATGCCTGTAATCCCAGCACTTCGGGAGGCTGAGATCAGGAGTTTGAGACTAGCCTGGCCAACATGATAAAATTCCATCTCCACTAACAATACAAAAATGAGCCAGATGTGGTGGCATGCGCCTGTAATCTCAGCTACTTTGAGAGCCTGAGACAGGAGAATTGCTTGAACCCAGGGGATTGAGGTTGCAGTGAGCTGAGATTGTACCACTGCACTCAAGCCTAGGCAACAGAGTGAGACTCTATCTTAAAAGAAAAAAGAAATCTTATAACTGACTGGGTGTCCATTCTTCAAAAAGTAGGAATTTCTACAAAGAAGGGTAATGGGTACTGTATTGCTTAGGCCTTAGCTGATGGTGAGGTCAGAAATGAATATAGCCACAAGCTGGAGATGTTTCAAGAACATGGCAGAGAGAGTGGTGAGAAAAGGGTTCAGGATAACATCATAGATTCACTAGGCCTTGAAAATTAAGAAGGGTTTGAATGTATATAAATGAAGAAGGGTGACTCCAGTGAGACAACAGTATGGACAAAATATGGGAGCTGGAAAGTCCATAGTAGAAAGTAAGGTGGATGATGACCAAATCATAGCATACGTAAGAGCAAGGCTAAGGTGACTGGGAGCCATGACTTTTTTTGAGCAGGGAAGTGGCATTAGAACTATTAGTCTGGGCCGGGCGCGGTGGCTCAAGCCTGTAATCCCAGCACTTTGGGAGGCCGAGGCGGGTGGATCATGAGGTCGAGAGATCGAGACCATCCTGGTCAACATGGTGAAACCCCGTCTCCACTAAAAATACAATAAATTAGCTGGGCATGGTGGCTTGTGCCTGTAATCCCAGCTACTCAGGAGGCTGAGGCAGGAGAATTGCCTGAACCCAGGAGGCGGAGGTTGCGGTGAGCCGAGATCGCGTCATTGCACTCCAGCCTGGGTAACAAGAGCGGAACTCCGTCTCAAAAAAAGAACTATTAGTCTGGCAGTGTGGTCTAATGGATTGGAACAGGAGGGGTGGGGGAGATTAGTGAAACAGAGACCAGGGAAGAGACTCCTGTAACAGTCTGCCCTTGTAATGTCAATAAGTTTTAAGAAATATTCCAGTAGTGCAAGCAAGAGATAATGTGATCTTGAACCAAGAGGAAGTTGACATAGTAAGGAATAAAGAATACTTTGGGAGGCTGAGGTAGGTGGATCACCTGAGGTTGGGAGTCCGAGACAAGCCTGGCCAACATGGCGAAATCCCGTTTCTACTAAAAATACAAAAAATCAGCCAGGTGTGGTTGCAGGTGCCTATAATCTCAGCTATTCAGGAGGCTGAGGCAGGAAAATTGCTTGAACCCAGGGTAGGGGGTGGGCAGAGGTTGTGATGAGCTGAGATCACGCCACTGCACTCCAGCCTGGGCAACAGAGCAAGACTCTGTCTCAAAAAAAAAAAAAAAAATGGTTTGGATGTAGAGCTTTCAGAGTGGGGAAGAAAACAACCCACAAGGATTTGGCAATTGTGGAAGTGGGGAAGGGAGAGAAAGAGGAGTTGAGAGCATGAATATTTGGAGTCTAAGTACCTGGGAAGATGGTTATTCTGTTCTCTGAATCATGGAGGCTGGGAAATAGAAGATGAATTGAGTTTGTTGACTTGTTGATGGGAGGTGTTGATAGTCCGCTTACCACCTGACTCCCTCGTGCCTTTGCCATTGTCCTTTGATCCAGAGCTGCAGAGATCCTTTGGTTCCTTGTGTTGCTGCTTTGTTCCAGGCCTGGAGCCTGCTCCCCAGAATCCCTTCACTCATGACTTGGAGCAACTTTCACTCCCTCTGAAATAAAATAGTGCTTAGGTCTGTTTCCAGCTGTGCAGTAAATGCCTATTAAATAGCTATTGTTATCAGAGCTTTGAGATTACAGTAGTTAGAGAATAGAGAAGCCTCTGGAACCACCTGGTTGAAGGACTCAGGAGTCATTCAACTTGTATTGAGTAAAAAGTCTGGACTGCAAGTATATGGAGAGGATGTCAGGCTTGGGTATGAATGGATGGGGGACTCTAAGCCATGTAAACTAGAACAAGAAAACATGTTTCCTGCTTTCTTCTACTTTTGAAAATTGTTACGTGTAATGTGAGGTTAAGAGGGCAAGCCCTGGAGTTGGACTTCTGGGTTCAAATCCCAGTTCCATTATCTGTTAGCTGTGCAATGAACAAATTTACTTAATTGCCCTGTGCCTCCGTTTCCCCATTAGTAAAATAACACACCAACCTTACAAGATTGTTGTAAAGATGAAATGAGTTAATACAAATAAAAGATTTACATCAGTGCTGGTATATGCTACTATTTTTATTCCAGAGTCTGCTCTGTTCCACATTCCTAGGAATGAATAGATAGGAATTTCTTTACCATCCTCACCCAGCAGAGGAGGGAGCTGAGTACAGAAACCTGAAATAAATCTCAGATTGCTTGAAAGTTTTTCTCAGTTAGAATCCAGGTTATCTAAACCTGGAGAAGCTTGGGCCACACATGAGATAGACTTAGAGTTGAGATTCACTCTTGGTTCTACCATGTGACTTATTTTGATCTTGGGCAAGTAACCTAGTCTCTGAGCCTTAGTTTTCTCATATTTAAAAAACAGAACAAATTCCTTCTTGTGTCTCTAGTATGTGCCTCATTCTCCTTATGACTGTATTCTAGCTATATTACTAGCCTTCTTGTTCCTTAAACATACCAAGACTACAGGGCCTTTGTACTTGCTATTCTCTCCCTAGAACACTCTTCCCTCAGATCTTTTCATGTCTTACCCCTCTCATGTCATTCAAATCTCTGTGGATGTCACCCTTTGGAGAGGCCTCTTCCTGACCATTTTGTCTAAAACAGACTTCACCTTGCTTTATTTTTCTTTTCTTTCTTTTTTTTTTTTTTTTTTTTTGAGATGGAGTTGTGTTCTTGTCTCCCAGGCTGGAGTGCAGTGGCGCCATTTCAGCTCACTGCAACCTCTGCCTTCCGTGTTCAAGTGATTCTCCTGCCTCAGCCTCCTGAGTAGCTGGAATTACAGGCGCCTGCTACCACACCCAGCTAATTTTTTGTGTATGTTTTAGTAGAGATGGGATTTCACCACGTTGGCCAAGCTGGTCTTCAACTCCTGACCTCTGGTGATCCGCCCGCCTCGACCTCCAAAGTGCTGGGATTACAGGCATGAGTCACTGCACCCGGCCTGCTTTATTTTTCTTTATGGCACTTAGCTCTACTTGAAATTACATACTGTAAATAATTGACCTGTCTTTTGCTAGGATGCCAAATATGTGAGAGCAGGAACTTTGCCTACTGCCTGTTCTGAGCAGCATCCCTAATGGACTTCTCTCTCTGTTATAGGTCAGCCCTATTCCCAGACACAGCTGGTGTTGACCCTGTAACTCAAAGGAGGAAACAACTGGCTAAGCTCAGCATTGTTACTGGTGAGTTAGGGTGCCTGGGAAAGCTCTGGGCAAGCTTGGGCCAAGATACAGGGTATCTAGTTTGGCTATTGTTTTTACCTTCAGTACAGATAATTTACAGGTGATTACTCTCCTATTCCAGTAATGGATGTTGCAAAGATAACCTTTTGAACTAGGAGGCAGGTTGAGACTGCTCTCCTAGAGCTGCCACAAGAATATCTGGGATCATGTGTCGTGAATAAGGCAGAGCAGGCTTGCTTCCTTCTTCCTTCTGCTAGCTTCTTTCTGCTGAGGGGGTATCCTGGGACCTGGCAGCTATACCTGTTCTCCCACAAGCTCTTTAACATGACATCACAGCCCTTAGAGACTTTCTTAGCTTTAGTTTTTACTGTGATCTGCCAAGTTCATAGGTCAGGTCCAGAAAATCCTGTAGTTTCCTCAATTCTGCAAAATGTCATATAAATAATGGTGAGAGTGGAGCGATAAGAATAGGGCTGTGTGAAGGAGATGTCAGAGGAAGCTTACAGATGGTGAGAAGGAAGGAAAATCAACACAATAGCACAATTAGCCGGGCGTGGTGACATGCGCCTGTAGTCCCAGCTACTCAGAGGCTGAGGCAGGAGAATGTTATTGATCTCAATGTAGACAAAATCCCTTTTTGTGTGTGGGGGGTGTTTTGTTTTTATTTTTGGGAGACAGGGTCTCACTATGTTGCCTGGGCTGGCCTCAAACTCCTAGGCTCATGTTATTCAAGTGGTCCTCCTGCCTCAGCCTCCCAAGTAGCTGGGATTACAGGTGTACCACCATAACCTGTTCTAAAACCTCATTTTATAGATGAGGAAATTGAGGCTTAGGAACTGAAATAATTTGCCCAGGGTTCGCACCTGGGAATCCATAAAGCTGATATTAGAACCCAGGTCAGTCTGACCATAAATACCATTGTTCTTCCTGACTTGGCAGGATTTCCTTGGGCAGCTAATCTCACTGATTCTGATTTTTCTTTTCTTTTTTTTCTAATTCTGATTTTTCTCATGAAGTTCAAGAAGGCAGACTTAGGGATTCAGAAAGGAGATTCATTTGAGGGGCCGAGCAGGGCAGGTAGGAGTTGGGGGTGCCTCTGAGCAAAGGTATTTCTAGTGAGGGGGTACTAGACTGAAAGACAGGAAGAACCTTCAAGCAGACCTAAGCCCAGGCTAAAAGTGACCAGAAGAAGAATACATCTGTAACACATGGGATCTCTTAAGCACTTGGGCCGTCACAGGATAAGGACTTGAGTGCTGGCTTGAAGTTAAGAAACATGGGTTTTTATCTTCTCTCTCAACATGTGCCCTGAACAGTCTTCATTTCCCTATTTGTGAAGTGGGAGAGCCTCCCTGTCCCCTCATGTCTCATATGTGTATGCCAACCACGCGGGTATATTATAGAGAATGAGAAGAGAATTGTAAGTTGCAAAGCTTTGTGAATTGTAAAAGCAGCATGAATGAAACAAGAAAGTGAGGAGAAAGCATTTTAAGTGTGTACCTTAGCTTGTCTCATATTGTTATAAAAGAGTACCTGAGGTTGGGTAATTTATAAAGAAAAAAGGTTTGTCTCACAATTCGATGTCTGGAAAAGTTCAAGATTGGGTGTCTGCATCCAGTGAGGGCCTTAGGCTCCTTCTGTTCCGGTGGAAAGGGAACTGAGGTGAGTAGAAACCAGATGGTAAGAGTGGGGAGATACCAAGCTCTTCACAACCATATCTTGCAGGAACAAAATGAGTGAGAATTCTCCCCTACCCCTGCTCCAGCAACAGCATTAATCTATTCATGAGGGATCTGTCCCCAAAGATCCAGGCACCTCCCATTAGGTCCCACCTTGAACATTGGGGACCTAATTTCAGCAAGCAGTTTGGAGGAGTCCAGCATTCAAACTATAATAGTATCTGTGGCATCTCAGTCCCCGACCTGTTTGCCACCATTTCCCAAAAGTAAAAGGGAAGGTTTTCATTTGCAAATTTTCATGGTAAATCTCCTATGTCCTTCTCCTCTCTTTCTTTCTTTTGTGGGCCTTACCCATAGCTCAGTTTTTCCATAAGGAAAAGGATTCTAGGGCACAGATGACAAAGCCGGGTAGCACAGCCAGCCATGATTTGCAATGTGTGGGCTGCAGAGGGCAAGTTTAACTGCACTCATGAACCCTGGTTGCAAGGCACTACTGGCATAGGATACTACAGTAGTTTCCAAGAGCCCATCCCAACAGGAGTTGGCACCCACCGTGATGTTGCCTTGTTCCCTGCTGTCGTCTCTTGAAGGCTATTATTCTTTTGGCCCTAGGTCCCCTGCCTGCCCCTGCTTACTGCTAGTAAAAAAGGCTCTTGTGCTGTAGCCTTACATTTTATGGAGGCCATGGTTATTCCAGTTTTTTTTTTACCATCTTGCTCTCCCCCTTCGCCAACGATGTATGCCATTCTCTTTGTGCTGTGTGTTAACAATGGACATTCTGTTCTTCTCTCTGCCTGAGTGGAAAGAGGGTTTTGGCTCCTACCTCCCTTTCTAGTCTGAATCTCCAGGCTCTTGCTGCCACTTCTTTTTCCCTTGTTAATCTAAAGTTCTACAGCTTCTGGCCTTTCCTTGGCCTGGGGGCCAAGCTTGGATCTCACACTTCCTGTAACAACTGCCCTGCTCCACTAAACTTAAAATATGGCTGGGCGTGGTGGCTCATACCTGTAATCCCAGTACTTGGGAGGCTAAGGCAGGTGGATCATGAGGTCAGGAGATCAAGACCATACTGGCTGACATGGTAAAACCCCGTCTCTACTAAAAATACAAAAAAAATTAGCCGGGCGTGGTGGCATGCGCCTGTAGTCCCGGCTACTCAGAGGCAGAGGCAGGAGAATCGCTTGGGAGGCAGAGGTTGCAGTGAACCGAGATTGTGCCATTGCACTCCAGCCTGGGTGACAGAGTGAGACTCTGTATCAAAAACCAAAAAAAAAAAAAAAAAAAACCACAACAAATATGAATGATTACATGTAAATAAGAGTATTGTATATACATTTATATATGATAAGCTACACGTATAGTAGCTTACTTCCCTAACAGCCTCATTTTTCCAGAGTCCAACTGAAAAACAAGGGGGAAGTAAAGCATTGTCATCCTTAAGTATTTGCACAGTGCTAATTTATTATTATTTTTACATGTTGTAACAAGTTTAGCATTTGGTTTCTAACCCCCCTCACCCCCTCCTCAAAATTAAAATCAGCATATCAAAAAGAGGGGAAGACCTGCTTTATTAATAGCAGCTAGGGGTGAGAGCTTAAAGCTGACTGTAAGGGAAGGGGTGAAGGAAGAATGATAAGAAATGTTAAAACAACAGTCTGGAGGCCACTTAATTTAGGAGCAACACCACAAACATCTATGTTCCTCAGTAAGGTGAGGGTGTGGCTAGGTAATCTCTGGTGATTCTGAGTTCTCTTGAAGGCCAGAGTTATCAGAAAATGTTAAATTAATTATTTACAGTGTCTATTATATATTATCAGGCACTATGCTGAGTGCTCTACATAAATATATTTCATTTTCATAGCAACTTGGGAGGTAGGTGGTGATGTTCTTATTTTATAAATTACTTGAGACTTAGAGATGGACGTGTAGGCAGTGATCAGAAGAGCTAAGCTTAGAATCCAGAAGAATCTGGCTCCAGAAAACCAAGGTTTTCTATTATTCCTACATTGGCTTTTCCCCAAGCACCTAAAACTCTGATCCTTCTCAGCCTCTTGAGCTAGTAGTCCCCCACTCCTCATTTTTATTTATTCTCCTAAATACATTTATTTTCCTTTTTGAAGATACACGTTTATTTATTCAGTGAGTATTGGAGTATCTATCATATACCAGGCACAGTTTCAGGTGTTTGAGGTATAGCAGTGAATAAAATAGTGTTCTGTCTGTAGTTTACATTCTAGTAGAGGAAAGCAGATAAACAAATAAATCTGAAGAAAAATAAAGCAGGATAAGGGAGTAGGGAGACACTGGATTATTAAACAAGGCCTCTCAGAAAATTAAATGTGTGCAGAAATACGCAAGAACTGAAGTAGTGAGCTATGTATATCTTTTGGGGAATAACATTCCAGGCATGGAGTTCAGCAAGTTCAGAGGTCCTGAAATAAGAGTGTTCTTACTGTGTTTGAGGAACAAAAGGAGGCCAGTGTGGCTACAGATGAAGTAAGCAAGGGGGAGATTGGAATATAGAGGTCACAAGGATAGACGGGGACCAGATCTTGTAGACCTTTATTCTGAGTGAAACAGGAAGACGTTGGAGAGTTTTGAATAGAGGAATGACATAATCTGACACCCATTAAAAAAAAAATTCCTCGATTAATTGCACCAGCTGGGATCTCTAGTACAATGTTGAATAGAATTGTTAAGAGCAGACAGCCTTCCTTACCTTGTTCACAATTTTAGGAGGAAAGTATTCCGTCTTTCACCATTGTGTGATTGGGCTAAGGAAGTTCCCTTTTAATTCCTAGTTTATTGAGAGGTTTCATTATGGATGGGTGTTGGATTTTGTTGATTTTATGGTTTTTGTTCTTTATTCTACAATGATATTACATTAATTGGTTTTCAGATATTAAATCAACTTTGCATTCCTAGAATAAATCCCACATAGTCGTAGTGTATAATCCTTTTTATATCGAGTTAGATTTGATTTGCTGGGGAATATTGTTCTGTAGTTTTCTTGTGTCTTTATCTGCTTTTGGCATTAGGGTGGCCTCATGGAATGAATTGATGTGTTCCCCCCACCCCCTCTGTTTTCTGAAAGAGTTGTTAAAGGATTGGCATTATTTCTTCTTTGATAGAATTCATCAGTGAAGAAGCCACATGGGCCTGGGCTTGTCTTTGTTGGAAGAGTTTAAAATTACTAATTCGGCCAAGCGTGGTGGCTCATGCCGGTAATCCCAGCACTTTGGGAGGCTGAGGAGGGTGGGTCACCTGAGGTCAGGAGTTCCAGACCAGCCTGGCCAATATGGTGAAACCCTGTCTCTACTTAAA